GCCATTAACTCATGGAAAAAATGAGATGATACAAGAAAACTCTTACCTCTCGGAGTACGACGACGGTGTCTGCTTCAGATGCCGGAAAAATGCAAGTCTAGAAGACAAAGGTTCTTGGCCTACGAAAATCTTTTGTTCTCTGTGAAAAAGGCTTTGGTAATATTGCCTGAGAACGATTTGTGGTTTTTATAGTGCGTGGATCGGCGTTTGGATTTCCCGAAATTGAAATGACGTTCGAGCGGTAAAGGTTTCTTACCGTTGATCTTGGCCACGTGTCACTCATCAGCGAGGGTGAGTGATACGAATGGATGAAGTCAAACTTTCACCTTTCCAATTGAAAAGCTTAAACGACGGCCATATCTCTCTCAGAGCATTAATTGCGTCTCAAATCTTCATTTAATGCTCTGGTAAGGTGCACCGTTCCAACGCATATTGCATTTAATGTCCTGATAAAGCGCACTGTTTCAGCATGTAAGGCATTAAATGTGATTGGCTGGCATTCACCACACAAGGGGTACACCTGTCAGCGCAGGGATGGCTTCATTAAATGCCTTCCTGTTGCCAGAATAAACGGGTGACGTCAGACAAAACCAGGTCGCTCGTCCTTGAGCATGCGAGGTTACGCTTGTACAAATGCCGCTCCGACCTACTTTCGAACAGATTAAAGTTTTCAGAAATCATCTAACCGCGTCACGACCTGTAGTTTCCAAGGTTCAATCCTCAAACCTTAAAAACTAGGGGGCTTCTGTTATGCCTAAAGATATAAGGGCTGACGTCAGAACCCTTTAGCCCGCAAAAGTCAGATCATTGGAACAGCCACCGTCTGCGTCTGTCAGGATAGTGGGTGCATGTCAGGCTAGTCAGGAGGCTGTGGTGCTCCCACGTGTCCCCTGCTCTTAATCGCGCAAATCACTCTGGAAGGTGGGCAATGTGACATAAAGAAGGATTTGCACGGATAATCCCACCAACTCGCAGATTTAGTGATGATTGCCTCAAGGCATCTGACTATAAATTAGGAATTCATCTCTCATTAAGGGGATTCGTACATTTTTTCACTTAATTAATTACTCTCTCTTTTCTCAGCAGTTGATACCTTGTAATGTCATTATAAAGTCAGTCAGCTAATAGCGACGTGACCCCTATCATCAATATAAGCATCAGTGGATGTAGGACTTGCTACCTTAGCATCCGAACCACTTTAAAAACTGTCTCTATTGCATTTACTATCTCTCATCCATTACTTTCACGTGTGATTTCGGAACCCCCTGCAACATTTCACACGTGCGTTTCGTTTGTGCAAAATCCCGCATCAACAGACACCAATGCAAAAAGAAAAATTGAGGAAGACGTGTTTCTGCGAGCTTTTAGATATGATTTTGAAGTTTGAGTCAATAGTTCATTCTGCTTATATGTTTCCAATAAAGAGATTTGGTTTGGGGTTCAAGGTGTGAGTCTAAGGTTTGGAGTTCTTGAATTTGGGAAAAAAAAGGAAAAAAAAAAAAGACTAGGGAATTCAAGTCAAAGTACAATGATGGATTGTTTCCTATAGAAGACGACGACGATGCAGTGGACTTATCATTGATATTGGTTCTCTAGCTTTTCTTACATGGCAAAGATAAGTGTCGTTACCTTCGAACCTATTTTTACACTCGGATAGGTTTAATGCGTATCCATGGGGTATGGTCGCATCTCTCCATACTATTTTGGTTGGGCATGCAGAAAATTATCTTCAACGACTCGAGAACAAAGAGAACCTCAATGAGAAGGTATTCGGATATCCTTACTTCTTTCTGATAATTAACTGTATACCTATTCGTAATCATATTATAATTTTTTGATTTCACTAATATGATGATATTATCCCACATGTTAATAAGTTGAACATGGTAAGTTGTTCAAAGTACGAGGAGATCCATATAAATGATGAATAAAATTTTATCTCGCAAGTGAACAAATCAGTACAGTAGTATAGTAAGCAAATACGGGAGTCATACCCATGTATGTAAAGTTATTCAATTAAATCTAATTATGCAATTTCATAAAAGAATAAAATAAAGATAGACTAAGGGAATTACTAAAATTAACTAAATATTTTGAGGGAAGTTTGATTTTGAAAACAAGTAATTTAAATTGTAAGAAATTAATAAAAGCTTTTGAGATTGATTTAACTGAACAATGAATGGAAACACTAGGCATTGGCTTCACCATAACATTTCAATTCTATGCCATTAGCTAACTTAATGAAAAGTCTCAATTCAATTCCGGTTGTAACAAAGTTTTAATTCTTAACCATCAACATAATCATGACGTCTAGTTTAGTTAATGATCAAAAACTCATTAAGAACAATAAAATATTATTTAGTTCATAATTGTAGTGAAACAAACAACTATTGTAAAAATAACAAACATAAAGTTCAAGAAAAGATATTAAGAAAACTTTTCTAATTGATGAACCAAATCTCCAAAAGTAGTTGCTTTGATCTCCAAATTGCGGCTAGTATTCTCTCCTTTTTTTTTTTTTTTTTTTTCTACGCCCTTTTAAAATAGCAAAAGACCTCTGTTTATAATACTAGAGTTTTAAGAGTGTGATTAGAATAATCATGTTCAAATTAGGACAAGAAAATTCAGATAAAGGCTTAACACAATTTGCCTAGAATTAGAACTCTAGTCATCGTGCCGCGGTGCACTAAAATTTACATTACTTCCATCTTGACCCAAGACTCCATTGCCACGGCATAACACATAGAATCTAGCGGCACGCAAAGATGTGAAAAATTGAGCACAATATCTTCTTATTTTGTTAAAGTCATGAACATATGAATTGTAGGCTTCTGAGTCAATTTTCTAATGGTTCAAGAATAATCCAAATTCAAAGTCTACATCTCAAGTTATCATCAAAATATTAAACCATATTCCAAGCCCAAGTATGTTTCATTAGTTGGATGAATTATGGTCTTGTGAAGGTTTCCAGTGATGATACCCACAAACTTCCACACTAAATCTAACCTAGATATACAACAAATTATCTTATATATAATATTTACTTTTTTGTTTAAATAAATGTTAGTGAGTTTAAACATAAATAGCGTTTATGAAAAAGTTGTTAGTTGCTTAATTTAAGAAAATGTAAAGAGTTTCCTATTATCAATTTATCAAAAAGAAATTTAATATACAAGAATAAATGAAATCAAATTTATAAAATATAATAAATATATTTTTGAAATTTCAACACTTTGAAATAAACTCAAAAAGAGCTAGCTTATGGGAAAAGCTCAAATTTTGAGTTTCTCCCATGAGCCGGAGAATAACTTATTTTAAATCTTAGTTTTTGAAATATAACCAAACAATCTAAAAAGGTTTTAGAGGTACTTATAACTTTTAATAAGCTCTCTTGAACAGTAAAAAAGTCTAAGCAAACAGACTAGTCCAACTTGGCACATAAAATAATAGAATAGTATGTATTATCGAAGTTAATCTAGTTCAATTAATTTTCTCCTAAAATGTAGTAATTTTATGAAGGAAAACCGTTAGAACAAAGTCATACAGAAATGGTATGCAAAAGGAAATGAGAATAAAATGCAAAGTTTAGACAGTATTGAAGGAACCGATTATTGTAAATGAATTAGAATTTCTCTCCCGTCATAACACAAACTATAAACAAAGTGGGACTTCATATTCATTCCCTCCTCCCGACTTCCAGGTATCCAACTGTGATATCTTCAATAATGAAAGCAAGGAATTGCCTCTCAATTATTATTATTGAGAAAAAATTTAGAAAATCATAGCACAAAGTCAAATAGAACGTATAGCAGTAGCAGATCTCTCATTCACGTGGACTGTTAATCAACCTAAGAATAAGATGGCTCATGTGATAAACAGATAAAGGCAGATGCAGAACCAGCTAATAAATCATATATATATATTTTTTTTATGTATTATATATACTGTACCCCATCATTTCCAGTCCCAACTATAATGCATTTATGGCTCCTACAATGGAAGATTTCTTGAGACATCGTAATTTCTTCCTCATAAACAGCCTACCTACTAGTTGGTTCTGGAATGCAAGTTTTACTTTGGTGGGCCAAATCACAATCACTACAGAAAAATATCTTTTCAGAGAGCCATTGTTGTTCTTTCTCAAAACCTGAATTGAAGTTTCACAATCAATAGAGAAAAATATCTTTTCAGAGAGCCATTGTTGTTCTTTCTCAAAACCTGTATTTAAGTTTTATTTGCTACTGAAGTGTTCAGCATTAACTTCATAGTTTTCGCTAGCAGTGATTCATTGTATTTTACTACAATCTTGATGATTTTGTCTCAAAGAATCCAAGTTATAATCAAAATGTTATTCTTTTTTAGGTAAAAAAAAATGGGCTCATGAAATTTAAGTATCTGTATAACACAACAATCATTTCACAATGGACGTCATAACCACAACAAATGGTTACAAAATCTACGTTTATACTACATTTGTTGATTCCTAAAAGTATTGTCTCAACATTTTTCTAAAGGGAAAATGGTAATATATCGATCTATCTAATTCGAGGCAACTCACATCAACAAAACCTAGCCAAATACCAAGTGTTGATACCCAATTTCTGAATCCTATCTTTTCTGAAGCATAATTAGAAGATGTATCCGATCAAAGCTGGAGTAAAGTTATGGGGGACGAACAATATTTTATCTATGGAGAGCAACTTGCTAATATACATACAATTTTTTTTCAGTGTTAAAGCATCAAGAATCCACACCAGTATAAGAATCAAGAATCCATGAGATCATCATAAATCACAAAAGGTAACTCCAGTACGATCTTGTTGCTTTAAATCACCAGAGTCACAGCATACAAACACCTTCGCTAGTGCTACCATACCAGGCTATTTTATCAGCTAGCTGTAACAAATATTCACTTACCACATGCAATTGAGATAACAGAATTAATAACTATATAGTGCCTACACAATTTTCTTTTACTATAATTCAACTAGGAAAAATAATTGTTTTAAGCTCATGGCAAACTAAATTGATCAGGGAACGTCTAGAGTATATAACATAAGCATAACATGCTGATACCTACACTATTCACATATAGAGAAATTACAGATAGAAGAAAAAGACTACAAACTCAAAGCTCTTACAACATCAATCTAGTTGCATGTGTGCACTCTTACAAGCATGTGCCTGAAACAAAACAACCAGCAGATGCATTCAAACTATTACTTTAAGCACAAAAGATGAAAGATTTCCAGCACATTATTAACCTATGATGGGTCTTTTGGCTGAAGTCCGAAGCAAGATTTAACTTCACAGGACGATTCACCCAATCTAGGCTACACATAATACAAAACTGTTCTCTGAAATTTCCCTTCCCGAAAGCATCCACAACCTTTTACATCCAGCCATTGTGCTTTACCTGTAAATCCAATACAAACTTTTCAATCAAGAGAGAAGGAATCACATACAAGTACATGAAGAGGAAATTCCGACTTCCGTAGATAAATAAGAAAGACATGCACCACATATCAAAATTGACAACTTGCCACAAAGAAATGGTAAACAGAGCACAAAATGCATTTCAATTACATCCTGCATGTGCATATCAGTTGTATGTAAGAAGTCATGCCTGGCAGTGCTGAATATTTAGACATTACTTAACCTTCACTAGACAATCCTATTTTCACATTTTTGGTGACACTTCATGTTAAACACTCTCAACCTATCATAAATATGCGAATCCGCATCATTCTGTACTAATTCTTACTTTCCCAAAAATAACAAAACAAGCTTTAGCTAAATTTAAAGCATTCAAAACATGAGGAAGCAAAAGAACATAAAAAACAAGAAGAATCCAAACTAAGCATATGAAGTCCCATAAATTTATTGTTTTGATCGAAAATTGAGCATCAAATTTACCTGAGCCTGTAAACCCCCATCAGAAAGAGTTCATCTCCAAACAGTAAGTCCTCCTCTTGACAAGCATCTTGGCTGCGGTCCCATATGGTTCCTCGAAAGCAGATGCGACCCAGGAGCCATCAGCCACGTCCTTCTTCGCGGCAGACTGATCAGTAGGCCTAATAGCAACCAAAGTTGCTCCTTTCAGAACAACCCCATTTGGCAATTCTAAATGGGGCGCGTACCAGAGCCTCATATTAAGGGCTGGTACCAGCGTCCTCTTCGAAGCAGAAGAAGCCGACAATGGCTTCACTCTAAGCTCCTCTAGCTGCTCCCTATTCATACATAACACTCCTTGCCCGTCAGCGTCCGTCAAAACCAAACTATCCAGCGTCGTGTGCTCAGCTATTATGGGTTGAAGTAAATAATGTCTAGCAGATGCAGCAATCAAGGAACTAATTGTCCAAACAACTCGTAATTTCAACCCACCGTTGGTGTAAAAGGACTCGGGTATACTTCCATTATCATCAGTAACACAAGAAACCTGTGCTTCATTTTCATGATGAAATTTGTAGGCGTTATTTATAACGGATGCAGCCCCAAGAATGACACAGTTATCAAGCGTTGAACCAAAATCAGCTCTCCATTTCAATAACACGCCATCGTCGATCCCGAGTTCTCCGCTGGGTAATTCGATTCGGAGAAAACGAATCTCGTTGAAATTCTTCAAAACTTGAGTGGGAGAGTGGTGGGTGACACCGGCTTGATCGATTTCTCCGTCATCATCGTGGTGGTTGGTGTGGTTACCAACAGATAAGGTAGAGCCAGAAGTAGAGGCTGCGGCTGAGGCTGCACACAGGGCCGCGGCGTTGGTGTTGTTGAGATGATTGTTATGGTGAAATTGGGGGGTTCTTTTGGGACCCAAAAATTGGCCAAGGGCTTGCAGAGGTTTGACGATCCCACCAAACACCAAACGAAAAAGATTGGAAAAAGGAGATCGAGATTTTTCGGAGGTAGAAGAGGAAGAATCGTCGTCAGAGATAACACAATCAACCCGAACGACGACGTTTTCAACTTGAGGAACCAAAGAGTGGAAACGGCGAGAAACCACACAGCATCTACCCAGAGCCTTAACGTCACCGATGTTGTTAAAAACTAATAAAAGAAGAGAATCAGGAAGGCGGTCGAAGTGGTCGATATCTGTATCTAAATCCATATCCATGTCCATATCTATCGATTCACAAACAGGGAAGATTCTGGAGGCGGGATCTACACGAAGGGTGTTGGTGTTTCTGTTCATATCGGAAATTAAATCTTAATTTAAAAGATATTTCTATTAAGATTCAAGATAGAGCAGATCTGACATGAGCCAGCAACCCACCTGCAAAATCTTGAATCTTAATAGATAGAGGGATGAGAGATGGGATTGGGATTGGGATTGGGATGAAGCTGAAGAAAAGGATGTGGAAGTTGAAATGGAAATGGGAACGGAAAAGGAAATGGTGGGAGGAGATAGATCCACGGTTTTGGTTTTGTTTTTGTCTTTACAGAGGAGAGAGAGATGAGGGTTGATAGATCAACATGATGTTGATATTATGCGCGTACATTACATTACATAAATAAAAAATAAAATAAAGAGATTTGGTTTGGGGTTCAAGGTGTGAGTCTAAGGTTTGGAGTCTTGAATTTGGGAAAAAAAGGAAAAAAAAAAAGACTAGGAATTCAAGTCAAAGTACAATGATGGATTGTTTCCTATAGAAGAAGACGACGATGAAGTGGACTTATCATTGTATTGGTTCTAGAGCTTTTCTTACTGGCAAAGATAAGTTGTTACATTCGAACCTTTTTTACACTCGGATACGTTTAATGGTATCCATGGATATGGTCGCATCTCTCATACTATTTTGGTTGGGCTTATCTTCAACGTCTCGAGAACAAAGAGAACCTCAATGAGAAGGTATTCGGATATCCTTACTTCTTTCTGTAATTAACTGTATACCTATTCGTAATCATATATATTTTTGATTTCACTAATATGATGATATTACCCAGTTAATAAGTATGAACATGGAAGTTGTTCAAAGTACGAGGAGAATATAAATGATGAATAAAATTTTATCTCCAGTGAACAAATCATACGTAGTATAGTAAGCAATACGGAGTCATACCCATGTAGTTGTAAAGTTATTCAATTAAATCTAATTATGCAATTCTAGAATAAAATAAAATAGGCTAAGGGAATTACTAAAATTAACTAAATATTTTGAGGAAGTTTGATTTTGAAACAAGTAATTTAAATTGTAAGAAATCAATAAAGTTTTGAGATTGATTTAACTAAACAATTAATGGAAACACTAGGCATTGGCTTCACCGTAACATTTCAATTCTATGTCATTAGTTAACTTAATGAAAGTCTCAATTCAATTCCGACTGTAACAAAGTTTTAATTCTTAACCATAACATAATCATGAGCTAGTTTAGTTAATGATCAAAAACCCATTAAGAACAAAAATATTATTTATTCATAATTGTAGTAAACAAAAACTATTGTAAAAAAACAAACATAAGTTCAAGAAAAGATATTAAGAAACTTTTCTAATTGATGAACCAAATCTCCAAAGTAGTTGCTTTGATCTCCAAATTGCGGCTAGTATTCTCTCCTTTTTTTTTTTTCTCACCCTTTAAAGTAGCAAAAGACCTCTTTTATAACTAAAGTTTTAGAGTGTGATTAGAATAATCATATTCAAATTAGGACAAGAAAATTCATAAAGGCTTAACACAATTTGCCTAGAATTAGAACTCTAGTCGTCGTGCCGCGGTGCACTAAATTTACATTACTTCCATCTTGACAGACTCCACTGCCACGGAAACACATAGAATCTAGCGGCACGCAAAGATGTGAAAAATTGAGCATAATATCTTCTTATTTTGCAAAGTCATGAATATAGAATTGTAGGCTTTGAGTCAACTTTCTAATGGTTCAAGAATAATCCAAATTAAGTCTACATCTCAAGTTATCGTCAAAATATCAAAAAATTCCAAGCCCAGTATTTTCAAGATTCGCAACTCATACTCGAAATGTCATAACTTTCTCATTCAACTTTGATTCCCAAATCATTTGTTCCTAGTCCTAAAAAATTTTATTGCCAACATACTTCATTTGAACAGTATTTTTTTTTTTTTTTTTTTTTGACCTGAAAACACTCAAAACTATCTGTGATTCATAAAGATATTATAAAATAATTAAGTTAAATCATACTAATCAAACCTAATTTCCACAAATAATCCCATAAACACTCATTTTGAGTGCATTTTCAAGACTTATTACAACCTTCAAAAACTTTTTGCTAGTCCATAGTAAACTAAGGATAAAAATTATCTTAGTTGAAAACAAAAACAAAAACAAAAATAAAACCTAAATCACTTCCGTAGATGTCATAGTTGCATTAACATATGCAACAAGCCTTTAAACTCTAATTGACCTTAATTTGATGAATTATAGTCTTGTAAAGGTTTCTAGCGAACCTAACCTAAATATACAACAAAATCTTATATATAATATTACTTGTTTGCATAAATAAATGTTGCAGTTTAAATTAAATAGCGTTTATGAAAAAGAGTTAGTTGCTTAATTTAAGAAAATATAAGAGTTTCCTATTATCAATTTACAAAAAGAACTTAATATACAGAATAAATTTATAAAATATAATAAATATATTTTGAAATTTCAACACTTGAAATAACTCAAAAAGAGCTAGCTTATGGGAAAGCTCAAATTTTGAGTTTCTCCCATGAGCCGGAGAAATAATTATTTTAAATCTTAGTTTTTGAAATATAACCAACAATCTAAAAAAGTTTGAGAGGTACTTTAACTTTTAATAAGCTCTCTGAACAGTAAATAAGGCTAAGCAACAGACAGTCCAACTTGGCACATAAAATAATAGAATAGTATGTATTATCGAAGTTAATCTAGTCTAATAATTTTCTCAAAAGTAGTAATTTATGAAGGAAAACCGTTAGAACAAAGTCATACAGAAATGGATGCAAAAGGAAATGAGAAAAAAAATGCAAAGTTTAGACAGATTGAAGGAACCGATTATGTAAATGAATTAGAATTTCTCTCCCGTCATAACACAAACTATAAACAAAGTGGGACTTATATTCATTCCCCCTCCCGACTTCCGATCCACTGTGATATCTTCAATAATGAAAGCAAGGAATTGCCTCTCAATATTATTATTGAGAAAAAATTTAGAAAATCATAACACAGTCAAATAGAATGATAGCAGTAGCAGATCTCTCCATTACGTGGACTGTTTATCAACCTAAGAATAAGATGGCCATGTGATAAACAGATAAAGGCAGATGCAGAACCAGCTAATAAATCATATATATATTTTTTATTATTATATATACGTACCCATCATTTCCAGTCCCAACTATAATGCTTTATGGCTCACAATGGAAGATTTCTTGAGAAAGTAATAATTTCCTCATAAACAGCCTACCTACTAGTGGTTCTGGAATGCAAGTTTCATTTGGTGGGCCAAATCACAATCACTACAGAAAAATATTTTTCAGAGAGCCATTGTTGTTCTTTCTAAAACCTGATTGAAGTTTCACATCAATAGAGAAAATATCTTTTCAGAGAGCCATTGTGTTCTTTCTAAAACCTGTATTGAAGTTATTTGCTTCTGAAGGGTCCAGCATTAGCTATAGTTTTCGCTAGCAGTGATTCATTGTATTTCACAATCTTGATGATGTTGTCTCAAAAGAATCATTTCACAATGGACGTCATAACCACAACAAATGGTTACAAAATCTACGTTTATACTACATTGTTATTCCTAAAAGTATTGTCTCAACATTTTTCAAAGGGAAATGGTAATATATCGATCTATCTAATTCGAGGCAATCACATCAACAAAACCTAGCCAAAACCAAGTGTTGATCCCAATTTCTGAATCCTATCTTTTCTGAAGCATAATTAGAAGATGTATACGATCAAAGCTGGAGTAAAGTTAGGGGGGCGAACAATATTTTATCATGGAGAGCAACTTGCTATATACAATACAATTTTTTTCAGTGTTAAAGCATCAAGAATCCACACCAGTATAAGAATCAAGAATCCATGAGTCATCATAAATCGCAAAAGGTAACTCCAGTACGATTTGTTGCTTTAAATCACCAGAGTCACAGCATACAAACACTCACTAGCGATACATACCAGACATTTTATCAGCTAGCTGTAACAAATATTCACTTACACATGCAATTGAGATAACAGAATTAATAACTATATAGTGCCACACAATTTTCTTTTACTATAATTAACTAGGAAAATAATTGTTTTAAGCTCATGGAAACTAAATTTCTAACGAAAATTATGGTAACTAAATAGAAAATAATTCACATTATTATTATAACAACTTTATTATTGAATGTAATGACTGAGGCTCCGTTTGGTTAGTTATTTAGAATAACATTCTATACTAAATAACATTTTTGGAAAATATGATAGCATTCTGAGAAGTTTTTTATACATTTCTAAATTGCATTTTCTAAAAATATTTAGATTATTTTTAATCCTCTAAGTTTGTTAATTTAACTAAACACCCCTAATAATAAAAGTCTATAAATTAATAAAAACACTCCCACCTATCCACATATTGTCGGTAGCCGACCACCATCGTCGGAAGGTAGTCGGAATCTGCCAGAATGATGCACAACTAGCTAGATCTAGCCGGTCGTGCGCTGATCTGGCTTTTTCTAGCCAAATCTATGACCATAGATCTGGTCGTCGACGGCTAAACGACGGCCAAGATATCTGGTTTTCATTTGGCCGTCAATAACAACCACGATATGATCGTCGTCAAAGGCTAGATGTGGCCGTCAAATGCTAGATCTTTGGTTGTAAATCTGGGCAAAAAGATCAACGATAGATCTGACCAGATCGGCGCACGAGCAGCCAAATCCAGCTGGTCATGCGCCCTTCCGATAGATTCTGACCACTTTTCGACGATGGTGGTCAGTTGCTGACAATATATGGGTGGGTGTAGGTATTTTTATTAATTTTAAAATTTTTATTGAAAAAGGTAATTATTAATATTTTGAGTTGAATATGATTAGATTAGATTGTGAAGATTATTGAAACAAATGTATTTTTTTTGTTTTTACCATAAGATAGTGGAAAAGTAATGTGCCAAATGGACCGGACTTTTCTTATTATTTTTGTGTCATTAGGAAATGTTTAAAATTTGTCTAATAGGAATGTGTTGGTTTTGGCCAAAAAATCTTTTGACACCAATACAAAAAGAAAAATTGAGGAAGACGTGTTTCTGCGAGCTTTTAGATATGATTTTGAAGTTTGAGTCGATAGTTCATTCTGCTTATATGTTTCCAATNTTGGAAATGGAGCGCATGTTTC